ACTTCTGTAAAGAAGAGATTCGCTACCTTGGATGGGTTGTTAATTCATCAGGTACCTTTGCTGACCCTGAAAAGGTCGCTGCCATCGATGCCTTCCAGGCTCCTCGCAACCGCACAGAAGTAAGACGATTCATCGGAATGGCCGGATACTACAGAGACTCCATTCGGTCGTTCAGCCAAACGGCCGAACCACTGTTTCGCCTACTCCGTGATGAAGTGCCTTACAACTGGTCTGAAGTGGAGAATTCCGCTTTCATTCAACTCAAAAACGCTCTGATGACAGCTCCCGTGTTGGTTCACTACAATTCTGAAACTCCCATCAGACTTCATACCGATGCCAGCTATGAAGGCATTGGTTATGTATTGTGCCACTATGTGGATAACAAAGAGCATCCAATACGTTACGGTAGTCGGACACTGATAGCCGCCGAACAGAACTATGGTGTCACGGAACTAGAATGTATGGCAATCTGGTATGCCATCATTTCTAATCGCCATTATTTGTTGGGAAAGCCATTTGACGTGATGACCGACGCCCATTCGCTTTGTTGGCTGATGCGGTGTACGGACCCAAACAAACGATTGTGTCGATGGATATACGACTTGCAAGAGTACGACTTCACGATTATATATAAGAGTGGCAAAGAGCACCTCGATGCGGATGCACTTTCCCGGACAGCACTCAAAGCCGAGGCCGAGGATGCCGATAGGCAAACTCTTTTTAGATTAAAAGAGATGAATTTGGCAGAAATACAGGAAAAAGACGAGTTTTGCCTTAAATACATAAATAAAGCTAAGGCAATTGATGGTGACATCAAACGCATTGAAGGACACATTTTTGAATTCATTGACGGCATATTGTATAGACGTATGGATCTACGCGATGATTTAATTCTACAACTTGTGACTCCAAAAGAAATCCGCCTTCAAGTGCTCCAATCCCTACACGATGAACCGACTGCTGGCCATTTAGGTGTTGAAAAGACCTACGAAAAGCTCAGGCGCCGCTGTTGGTGGCATCGGATGTATCGATCGGTTCGCCGTTACGTCAATCGTTGCCTTGACTGTCAAACAAGGAAACCGCCGATCGGCCGAACGGTCGGATTTGGACAACTAATGGAAACACCATCAATACCCTGGAGTACTATAGGCGTAGACCTGTTGGGAACTTTTCCAATCTCAAGTGACAACAAGCGATGGATAATTGTGTGCACCGATCACTTCAGCCGTTATGTAGTCACCGGTTCTCTGCCAGATGCGACCGCAGAGACCGTTGGAAACTTCATAATTGAAAATATCGCATTAGTATTCGGAAGTCCTATCACAGTGCTAACAGATCAAGGCAAACAGTTCTGTAGTTCACTAATGCAACATATTTTGGCATCGATGGGGACCACGCACGTGAGGAGCAGCTCATACCATGCTCAAACAAATGCTATTACTGAGACTAAAAACAAAATAATAGCCACCATGTTGTCCTTTTATTGTGATTATGATCAGAAAAATTGGCCGCTAGCTCTGCCGTTCATTACGTTTGCCTACAACACATCCATCCACGGAACGGTCAAATTGAGTCCTTACAGACTCATATTCAATCGAGAGCCAAGACTGCCTATCGATGCTGTGCTTAAAGCTCCAATATCACTGATATTGGATGAGGAACATGTTAACAAAATGCAATTGTTGGCAAATATGGCCATAAAAGACGTACAATACAAAAATAAAGTGTATTACGACTCAACACGACAGGACCTTAAATACAGAACGGGTGAAAAAGTAATGGTTTTTACACCAATACGGAAAAAAGGTCTAAGCGAAAAACTACTTCATCGCTACTTTGGACCTTTCACCATTATTGACATAAAGTCTCCAGTTAATCTCTTAGTGGAAAACAAAGAGACTAACAGACGAGAAGTGGTCCATATTTCGAGACTCAAGAGATATAATGAGGAATCAGACGATCAAATAGATGTGACTGTGGAACAGCCGATCTGTGAAACGGCAGATTCAGCGTTTGACGGTCCGATCATCACAGATGTTACCGACAATGAAGAGAGTGAACCGTCATCTTTAAGACCTGTGCGACGTAGTAGACGGTATAAGACAGTCCGATTCTCTGACCCTCTTGTCTTGAGTCCAGAAGAAACCCAACAATTGGTTCGTAGATCTGAACGCATCAGATATACAACACAAACACCTGATTTTCATTATTATTAAATATTTAACCACTTTAAACACATATACTTATTATGCATATTTATATATATATTTATTTTATTTTGTTCATACAGTATAACCCGTTTTATTTCAAAATAGTTAGGCCAAACGGCCAAACGGCCGACCGATCGAACATTTCGAGAGATATTAAATTCATAAGTGGAGAATACGTAACATTCACATACTATCTTTTAGAATAAATGTAACTTAGTATACTGGTTGGACTGGAAAGCAACCAATGTTAGTACGAAGCCAAGGGTATGCTGATTACAATTGTGGCCTAATTGCTTTGATTTATATAATTTTTAATATTTTATAATTATCATAATCTTAACTACAATCACATATTGAAATACACTATACTGGTAGCAAACGCTTTCAAACTGTCAAACGAACAATTGACCGTTCAATTAAAACATAATATCTTAATAACATAGTAATGATGAATAATCTATTATGTTATAGATGTTGCATTTCAAACAGTGTTTACGATAATTGTCAAAAAGTGCTTTGAATTGAATTCGTGTTTCAAAGAATCGTGTTCTTGGGCGAAGAACTTCCGGTGCAGTCATTCGGACTGTGATTACGCCACCAATCGGTCTAAATATCTGGACAGACATGAATACACATAAGGCTCGCGATCAGTAGTAGTAGTAACTACCGGCGCTCTAATCTCTAATTGTAGTGAAAAGGATTGGCATTTAATCAGTTATAATAAATTAATGATTACTTTATTGTGAACTGATCTAATACTGATGAATAGGGTGAGCATACATGTTAGTTTAAAATTTTATACCAGACAGTATTCTTTTATCACTATCCATAACCATTCAATATGAGATTGTTTTATGATAATTTGGATATTTATATTATTTTATTTTCATGTAATTTACATATACAATATATATAATGGAAAATATAAACAGAACTTGGGCTGATTGTCCCAAACGTTCAAACTGCCGAACGACCGATTGACCTACAAATACAAAACTTAAAAGGCACACAAATGAATCGTGTTCAAAGATTGTCTAATACATGTTATAATACATAGCTTCAATAATGTATTAAATTGAATGCAATTTGTTTGTCGAAACTTATAGTTATTGCTAGTATGAAGCGCCAACAACCCTATAATTATGACAGAATTATATTTTATATCGTTTAATTATAATTATCCATAACTATATAAATATTAACCTCTATGTAAACCTCTATGTTAATGTTATTCATTATATGATTGAAGGAATAACATAGTCATATAAATGTCAGATACTATTGAATACCTTACTTATAACTGATCTAATGATGTTTGTAAAACGAAGATTGTAAAGGGTATAAAAGATTATTATGAACCTCATCTAAGACACCAATGTTACCAAAAGGTTGTATTATCAATGAATACTTACATACGGTATCAGCGAATAGTACATCCAAGTTTAAATTAATGAAGTGTTAATTGTGTAAAATGCTAAAACGGCCAAACCACCATTTGACCGATTCACCGTTTGACTACAATGTTAATATACATTTATTATGAAAACAATGAGTGAAAATGTGTGCAGATTTTAATAATCAAATTCAAAGTCAATCACCTATTTAATAGTAATAGTGTGGATAGTGTTAGTGTCCAAATGTATGTTAGTATGCATTCAATGTGTGTTTATATGCAATCAGTGCCTGAAATTCGGTTTCAATTCATGTCTTAATTGTAACTCAATTGTTGTTTACATTCAAAAAAATGTCTGAACTACTGATCAATGATTTGGTGGAAGAGTTGAGTGAGGAAAATACTCGACTTTTAAATGTAATACAAATTGAGAGACAATTTGTGAGTATTTTGGATAACATTAGAAACAATGCATTAGTTTTGATACAAAACTGTAAATGCGATGAAAATCAACAATTAATACAAACCATTCATACATTCAATCATAACTACAATCAACTCAAGAGTCGTCACTTACCACAAGAAGTCACTGAAATACGGAATGACACGAATGAAGAGATAATTGTGGCCACAGATGACAACCCATACGATGGCAGTGAAAGTGAGGCACAAATGGCGTCATTAGTGGTCCTGAAGACCCAGAGTATGAGACAATTAATAACACTTACGATGAGAGTCTGTCCAGTCAATGTATGTGGAAAACGGTATATCAATGACCAGTGTTTAGACATACACTCGAAGACTCATTCCGCTAACAAATCTGCGGATTCACTGGAATTCACTCAAAGGAACGGTAGGTTTGTGTGCCCTCACGAGTGCGACAACGATTTTAAGCACAAACCGCATCTCAAAGAACACATTCTCGCCATTCATGGCACGGATAAGCCATATGTCTGTCAATACAAAAACTGTGGCAAACGGTGGCCAACGGCGTCGTGATTAAGGATTCATTCGTACAGTCACTCCAAGAGTGGATCAGTTACTCCTAAACGGGTGAACCAATCGCACAATAATAGCCGGACCTATCAGTGCACTCACGAGTCTTGTGGTAAAGGGTTTGCCACCAGTAGACAACTCAATGAACACATTCGTGTCATTCATTCAATGAAAAAGTCTTTTGTTTGCAATCGTGTAGACTGTGATAAACGGTTCCCAACGGGAAATCAACTACAGATCCATGAGAGCACCCATTCCGAGGAAATACTATAGGAGTTCAGGTGTCGGGAACCGGGATATGATGACGTGTACTATAATATAAACTCTTTGAATAAACACGTGGAGTCTGACCACATGAATGTAAAAACATATTCCTCTGGAAGTGTTACGAAGTCTTCCAAATGCCCCTCAAACAGGCTCACCTTAAAGAGCACATACAGGCCATACATTCAACAGATAAACCATTTGTTTGCGATTATGAAAACTGTGGCAAACGATTCCCAACTAAATCAAGACTAAGAATTTATGGCTACAAACACCCCAAAGAACCATCAATGAGATCGATGACAACAAATACAGTGCGTCCCTATCAGTGCGCTCATGAGGGCTGTGGTAAATGGTTTACACGTAGTCATCGTGACGAGCATTTTCAGGGTATTCACCGGACGGACAGACCAGTTGTTTGTGATTACGACGGATGTGGTAAACGGTGGCAAACGATGACCAGGCTTAGAGTTCATAAATACACGCATAAGGAGTACAAAGCAAATGAATTCATTTATCGATTCACTGGATGTGGTCTCCGGTTTCGCACCAGAAGTCCACTACAATTGCATCGAAGGGACGAACACAAGGATTCATTGCTTACGTGCGAAGTGTGTGACTTTAAGACTACTGTTCCCACACATCTTCACGCACATACTTGCGACCATAAACAGGACCTCTCAGCTGATGGTAAACTATTTGTCCGCCCATTTAAGGGCAATCAAGAGTCTTGTGGCAACCGCTATACCCCTACCGCTATACCGCTTACCGTCACCTCCAGGAGTACATCGCCACCACTCACTCAACGGTCAAATTATTTGTTTGCGATCATATCGGGTGCGGAAAACAGTTCTCAAGCAGTCACCGCTTACGGGTTCACACTAGGAGTCATACCAGGTATAAAAAGTGTAGATTACCAGGGTGCGATCAAGTGTTTGCTATGAGTCAGCTTCTCAATGATCACCTAAAGTCTGAACATACGGATCAAGTGTTTGTCTGCGAGTGGATCGGCTGTGGGTTTACGGCGAGATTTATGGGAATATTGCCGAATCACGTTACACGAGTCCATAGCGCCGTCCGTCCCTATCAGTGCACTCACGAGTCGTGTGGCAAACGGTTTACAAACAGAGGGCATCTCAAAGAGCACGTGGAGGCTATTCATGCCACTCATAAACCATTTGTTTGTCATATTGAATGGTGTGGTAAACGGTTCCCAACGAAATCAAGACTACGAATTCATAGCCACAACGCACCCCAAACTATAGTTAAATCTAATGAATATTTGAATACAGTGATGGTATTCACCCATTGACTATAACGGTCAAACAGCCAATCGACAAAATGAAAGTTTGAAAAATCACAACCAAATATTTGAATAATAAGTGTTTATTGATGAATAATAAATGTGATTACAATATTGAATAAATGCACGTTTTATTGGTTAATGTTATATAAAAGAGAAAAAGTTCTAAAACTACATCAATGGTTATGTTTAATATTCAGTTTAATAATAATAGCAAATAAAAGTAAAATTTCCGGTTCTACCCCAAAAGGCCTAAAACCCAAAACGCCTAAACCCCAAAAGGCCTAAAACTGAAAAGGCCTAAACTCTAATAACTAACTGATTAGTGGACATATTTTTAATTTGATTAGTGGAATAGACGAGCCTCAACCTAACCTAACCTATCCTAACCTAAATTAAGTCAAATATCCATTGGTCAGTTAGTTATTCAAGTTTAGGCCTTTTGGGGTTTAGGCCTTTTAGGCTTTAGGCCTTTTCGGTTTTAGGCCTTTTGGGTGAGTCCCAAAATTTCCATTGAGGCCACTACTCGTTGACAACATGCAACACAGTGCCAACGTTGGTGCACTTGTGACCGGTGATGGACCCCTTGTCCTCAGGACGTATCTTCCCGGTCCCCAGCATTGCGCCGCAAGAAGGACACACAGTGCTCCACTTCAACCAGTAGAAGAAGTGATAGGTCGGCATTTTGTCCGAACCGCCGATTATCCAAAACGAGTCCCGCT